CTTAACAAACACAGTGTGTTCTTAATGTGTAGGTACAGAATAAATATTTTTTATTTTTTGGCTCTCAAATTTAATGAATTCTTGAGCAAATATTTGGTCATAGCTACCAAAATTATTTGAAATATTTTAACAGCGATGGTATCTGACCATGGAGATTTAAGGTCACGGATCTTCGTTTACGTAACAATCAAAAATATAGGTAAACACAGRGTGTTCCCTACAGGTAAAAAAATTAAATGACATTATTTGTAATGTTTAGTGTTTGTAAAAAAAATAATCTGCCAGTTTTTTGATAACCGAACTCAATTCTGATTGAGCATGCGTGAAAGATGAACACCAGGAAAATGAAAATCCTTCAAGTTTTACAATTTTTTTTTCGATAAAGGCGAAAGCGCAATGTATGTAGTGCGTAAGGTATTGATACTGTAAAAGCCAGTTATGCTCAATCTCGGTTTCATATTGCTGTGAAAGATATGGAATTTTAAAAGTCCAATGGTCGAMATTAACGGCAAAATAAAAGAAATCGTCAAATGTGCAACTTAACATTGCGCAGAAAACATTCTGGAGGTATTAAATTAAGACTAGATACAAAAAGAATTTCTTATTAACAGAAATTTCATCAACGAAACGCATCGATCCTTTTCTGAAAAGAATGTAACAGGTATTGAAAAGTTGCACATTTATGACAAGATCAAGTGAAAACGGTTATCGTCAAATTGTGTTGAGTCGGCAGAAAAAGTGACCCAGCCACGACTGGTAGTCAGAAAGGTTTTGCTACGCGTTTGATGGGATTGACCGAGAACCATATATTATAATTTGGTTCCCTACTACTAAACTTTTAATTAAAAGAGTTTGACCCTCCAAAGACAGAAATCGTCTAGAAGCGGCCAGCTTTAACTAATAGAAGATGAATCGTGTTCAATCAGGACAACGTCAAGCCACACAAAGATCGATAGGAACTCCCGGAAATTGCAGYAGTTTGGTTGCGCTGTTCTTATGCATCGGTACCGTACTTATATATGACTGCATGYTAATCTGGAGCAAGTGGAATATGGTTAATTTGCCATGCCAACGTCTAGTTGTTAATTTTTTATTCGCCAATTTTCAATTTTTCTCATAACCAGCTCGCATTTGCCTTCTCTCTATTGCAGCGACGAGGACATATCGTTCATCCTACCATGGTGGCGCCAAGTGCTGTGGTCTATTTTATTCGGTGGCATGGTTTTGGTGGCTACAGGCGGAAATTTAATTGTCGTTTGGGTTGTTATGACGACGAAAAGAATGCGAACCGTTACTAATTATTTCATAGGTGAGTTCAGGTAGATACATAACAGTTAACATAACAATACAACATTTGCGAAAACGAATTTTTATCTGAATTTGGKCTTATATATGTATATTAGGGTCCTTGAATATTTTTTTTTTTTCAACTATTACCCCCTTAGTGATTGACAAACAAAAACTCCTTCCTCAAGCCAGGCACTGTAGCTTAATTCTAAGAGGTCGTTATTTTTTTTTTTAGGTTCCCATACATTTAACATCCCTATAATTAATCGCCTAATTGAGATAATCAAACTTTTTTGCAAAAATTTTTCAACTTTGAAAAGTGAACTTTCAGAATATGTGATGGTTATTTTTGGGAAACAAAAATTAGTTGGTGAAATTTTAGTTTGAATGAAAAAAATAAAATTACTATGTTAAATGTATGGGAACTTAAAAAAAGTGAAGCTCCAGCGCCTGG